GCTCATCGTGCTACGGAATCTCCGCGCTCCCTAAGTTACATGCTGTCGGATTACAGTATGTCCTTTTTCAACTGCGGAGATATGATTAGACTACTCATTATTCTGTCAGGTGTTCATTCCGCACAGTAATAGGTGTTGTGCTGCGGGGGACGGGAGCTACGTACTACTCACGCTCTTGAAATTTGCTGTAAGCCGACCTTCTGATTCAAACCTGCGATTGGTTACTGGGCGACTGCTGCGCAGTCGTAGCTTCTGCTTACAAACAGATTCATCTCCGTGGCATCGCAGTCGGCGACTGTTAAATCGCCGCTGCTGTGCTAGGTCCAGGTCTTGCAGATCAATAGTCACAGGTATCTTGTCAACTCTGCCGAGGCTTAGCACTTAGTATGGGTATAGGTTGGCTAGCGATCGGACCGTATTTCATTTAAAGTGCTCCATTGTGGGACACGGCAGAAAGGAGTTGGCCTCGTGGCAATTGGCAATTGGCAAAATGGCAGAACGGTGATTGGCAGAATGGCAGAATGGCAGAAGTCGGCAGAATGCATTGTGAGTGTCTTTGGCTCTTTTCGACTATGCTTCTACTACGACAAAATAGGTTTGAACAATTACAGGATCCAAGTTATACTTTCTGATAACCAAATACGTGAATATTTCACTCAGGCGCGCTCCTCATGAGCCTTTCTTCCTCAATGAAGTTAAGTGGTATGATACCTATGTAGCTCACTCCAGTCGATAATGCAGTCATCCATTAATCCGATACATCACCTGCAATCAAACTACCACCTGCCGCGTCATTTTCTCGCAGTTGTCAATAGCCAGCCTCCCGTGTCTCGCACTCGACTCTCTCAAACTCCTCCATCAACTCCTCATCAGAATCTGCTGCGAGGGGAGGAATTCATGCAAACGATTTTTTCACTCATCGGCAAGAGCAACATTGATTCCGTGTTCAGGACGGGTACGTCGCGGAAGCCGGTAATATTGGGGCATGTTCTTAGTTGATTGGATTTGGGGTGGTTGTCCTCGCGGCCCTCGATGGATGCCGGGCGCATCAGTAAACTGGCGAGCCGCATATATTGCGATATTTTTGTACGCCTAATGCTTCTTTTTTCCTGCATATCGGCGGCTTACCAGTTGGGTCGACGGCCACATTAGCAGACGGGACGATAACGTGGAAAAGCGCAGGGCGGTAAGAAGATAAGACGCGTTGGGCTATATATAAGAATCGGTGTCATGCCCGATGTCCAATCAGAGAAGTAGGCAAGGACGCGTCATCGAACAGGCTGCGTCATCGTGGCTTACACCGGTTTACTGATGCGGCACTAGTTACATGTGCAATTCAAGTTTTCTCCCAGGTAACAAAGTTATCGGACACTTGCAAGTTTTTGGATGGTGATTGCACACCATGATACGTTCAACATTGTATTGTGAGTAGGAACGAATACCAGGTTGTCGTATTTCAGGCTACTTTTGCTAACAGCCCTCGAGGCCTCAACGTTCAACCGTTAGGCCAAAAGGCAGTGATAATCGAGGCTCAACTTTGATTATCTCGCGATGATTGTGGGAACTCACCGGGCTTACCTACTACCAGCACTTGTTACTTCCCCTCAGGTTTTACCGTGACAGACGAAACCTCATGCACATGCCAATCAGAAGGTCGTATTTGCCAACCGGTTTCTCTCGCGCGTTAGTCTATCATGCATCAGCGCTCAGCGTTTATGATATCGAGCACCAGTACCGATCTCACCCAGCAGTCCTCTCCCATGTCAATAATAAAGCATGCCGAGTGCGAACTGGCTAAATAAACAGTACGGCCATCAAATCTGTGGAGAGCACTCCACAGAACCGACGAGTCGGTAGATCAGCATCACGCACAAAAAGTCTAATTCAGGCAAATTGCTTACTCTTTTTAGACGTCCCGCTCTCGTGGCGGATCATCTTTAATTCGGACTCCGATCCTCCGTCGGACCGTCTCTCTAAACCTCTTTCCAACATCTCTCACACAGATATATCCGAATGGCTAGGGCTTTGAAGCCCTCGATATCTATGACACAGCCTAGATTAAGGGGATATGGCTATTTCCATGTCTTACGCGTCGAGGGCCGCTCAATTCTTGGGCTTAGTTCGCGGGCTCATTCTAGCTGTCAAAAAATGCCTCATCGGCATCTGTCGAGTCCGTTCCAGCACAGGAGAAACCGTCACTAGCGGCCCGGGTAAGTTTTGTTTAAATAGCGGGAACGTGAGCTGATATATATAGTTATACCCATAATAGCTGCTTTATGATGGCTTGGGAATCTGACGAGTATGTACAAGCTCTCCTTGCTGTAGTCGGTGACAAAATTATATCGTTTGCTACTAGGAACAGATACGAGGTTATCCCAACTTCTGCTGATCGCCCCTGGCCTACTGCTGGCAATGGTCACTGGCAGAATAGCGCGCAATGCGCAGTCTGCCAACACTCGGTGACTTCCAGTAAGGTTTTTTAGGAACGAATCTATCTTAATTCTGCCTTGGACGAATAGCCGAGCTGTATCATTGGCAGAAGGTCGCTGTCAACGATTATTAACTGGTGGCTCCCGCGCGTTGACCCATCAGCGCTCAGCGTTTGCGATGCCGAGCACTAATACTTATCGTATCGATCTCACCCAGTCGACATTCGGGCAGCTCTCTCTCACATGTCAAACTCCGGATTTGATACAAGCGTTTGCGATGTCGAGCACGAGTACTTGTTGTATCGATGTTACCCAGTCGACATTCCGGACCCTCTCTCACATGCCAAACTCTGAACTTCATACAATATACCGAGTGCGAAATTATCTGTGAAGGGGTAGGTACCCCTCCATAGCTGAGTCTGTAAATCATCGTCGCACACAAAAGGTCTAATCTAAGCAATTTTCTACAGATGTCCCGCTCTAGGAACTCTGGGACGGATCGTTTTCGTTCTTGGATTCCGATCTTGCATCTGACCATGTACATCGTGCTCTGTGCGTCTGTATATCCTCTAATCCATCTTCACATATCAATTCTGTCAGGGCTGATTCCAACATCTCTCACACAAATATACCCGAATGCAATGCTGTTGCATTCGAGGCTTCGATATGAAAAACGGCTATAAATTAACTCTCGATGTCTTACGCGTACGTCGTTACGGGGCTGCTCAATTCTTGGCTTAAGCCTAGAGTTCACCTGTCAAAAATACATCATTCGATGTTCGGCAGATACCCGGCCCGTCCGTCCGCACCAACGCCCACAAATGATGCGCCGTCTATCATGGAAAGTTGAGTCGTTCAGTGCAGGAGAAACCACCGCTAGCGCCCCAGGTCAGTTTTGTTTGAATAGCGGGAACGTGAGCGTCCAGCTTATACCCGTGTTTGATGCGGCATGTTCGAATAGCGCGAACGTGAGCTGATATAAAAATATATACTCAGCCTATACCCATAATAGCTGCTTTCTGATGGCTTGGGAATCTGGCGAGTATGCATAGGCTCTCTCTCCTTGCTTTAGTTCGTGATTGATCAGTCTAATTTACAATATTACTAGGTTGCACGTTTGCGGCTGTTCAACTCGCCAACTCCGAGGAGTACTCCCTGTGCTTCAAGTTCCTGTGCTCTCGACGCCTTGTTCGTACCATCACCGCATATCTATAGCGGGCAGCACCTGTGGGAAGATCAAGCATATGGCATTATGCAAACGTGACATGATGAAAAGAAGCCTTTGCACCGAGGAACCTGATTGTGTGGTCCTCGTGTACCACTAATAGGTACTGTCAGGTAACGATATTCGAGAGCTGCCATGAGCAATCCATCATGAAGGTCATCATCGTTGTTATGCATACTGTGGTCATCGCCATCGTCGTCCAGCCAGTCGCGAGCCTCATGGGGAGTTGGATTTGCCCTGCGAGATGTGTTGGGTGCGCCATGCTTGATTCACGCATTGCAGGCCATGGCGGGATCAGCGTGCTTTCGGCAGAGTGGCGGACTTTTTAAAAGTGTTCAAGTGGGGTGAGCAGCCTAAGAATTGAGCAGCCCGTAATGGGTTTACAGACTACGATTAGCCGATGAGTCAAGTTTTCAAAACTTTGACAGACGTGTAAATTCTTACGGGAAGTCGTGCCCTACATGCGTAAAAGAAGTTTGATGACGGTAGGTGTGCCGACAATGACCATGAATGGTTTGCTCAGGCAACGATTCTACTACGGCTAAGATATCTCAAAAAAACATGAGGAAGACATGCAAACGCGTTCAGGCACTCCAGTCGATCGTCAGGCCCCTACCAAGCTTCGAAGAACTCGTCTCGTTGATGGAGAGATCAAAATCTTCATTCTACAAGTCCATAATGAATTAAAGTTGATCCGCGGCTAGATTCCTATAGGTGGGAATCTGCGGGGCACGCGTCTTTGCTCACGTGCATTAGCAAAGAGACCACCCTAGCACGAATAATCCAGCAGACTTTGACGAAAATAAAACCAAGTAAAACGAGGGTTCTAATACTCATTCATCGATGTGCCACATAATTCTCTGACTCAAGCCTGACGTCAACGTTCCTGTTGCCGAGTAATTCCTAAAAAGGAAACCGAACGGTGACACTAACTCGCTCCATCAACTTGCCACAAAATCGAGAAAGTACTAGGCGCCTCCTCTTGACGTCCTCCTTTTCCAGGTCTTTTCTGAACACGGTGCTCCGGCATTCCCACACGGCAATGAACGACGTGAGCAAAGACACTGGCTAAATGAACACGGTGCTCCGGCTTTCCATACCTGCGACATACCGCGGAATTAGTGCGTCATAGTCGATTATTTCGATCCACGAATCGGAAGATGTGCAAACCAACTCTCTGATCTAGTACGCGAAATAATTGCCTCACAGTCGATTATTTCGATTCACGAACCGGAAGGTTATACATAGACAAATCCTTCGATCGGGAGGCTATACCAGAAGCACTACTTAAGCCGAAGGATGCAAGGTGTTTCGCTCATCATCTTCTTCGACTGGAGTGTTCAGTCATGTTCCAACTCTTTGTATTCCTGGGCTTTCTCGCAAGCCTTCGGGTTCATGCAGTGACTATTGGTCCAGTTTCTGACCTCGTCATTACCAATGGTGTTGTAGCCCCAGACGGGTTCGCTAGAACGTCAGTGTCCGCTCAATTTTCGACCTATGTGATTACTGAAGTCATTACAGCGCAGTTCTTGCTGGCGGCAGTCACCCCGGTCCCACTATCATGGCTCAGAAGGTAGCGTCTACTTTGCATGCATATACTCTTGATCGATCTCATGTGCATCAAGGGCGATATCTTCAATATTAACGTCACGAACCAATTGACGAACGAGACGATGTTAACGAGTACCAGTGTTGTAAGTACCCCCTGATAAATGCACGTACGAGCTTACAATAATGTCTATCGCAAACAGCACTGGCATGGACTATTTCAACGTCACAGTAACCAAATGGATGGCACGGCATTTGTTACGCAATGCCCAATCGCTCCAGGAAACTCTTTTCTATACAACTTTACTGCTGGCACGCAAGTAGGAACGTACTGGTACCACTCTCATTTTGCAGTGCGTTTGATTTATCCATGATTCACGGTCTCGGTAACTGATTACAATTTAGGTCCAATACTGCGACGGCCTACGAGGTCCGCTGATTATTTACGATCCTGACGACCCATACAGTTCATGGTACGATGTTGATGACGGTGAGTGAGTTCGACGAAATGAAGTTACGCTTCTCATATCCGATTAAAGAATCTACTATTATCACATTGATGGACTGGTAAGAAAAGCAAAGGTTGATGTATTTTTCTGTTATTCAATCGGTTTGCTTTGTAGGTACAACATTCCATCGCCTCAAGTACAGAGACAAGTGACCCCCGACGCGGTGCTCATCAACGGTATCGGGAGTTATGAAGGAGGGCCGAACATGCCATTCGCCGTCATCGACGTTCAGCCAGGAACGAGATATCGTTTCCGCTTGCTGAACATGGCGTGCAAGCCGAACTACATCTTCTCGATCGATGGCCACAATCTCACGATAATCGAAGTCGATGGCCAATACGTCGACCCGCTCGTGGTAAACTCTATTGATATCTTCGCTGCGCAACGATACTCGTTCATTCTCGAGACAAACCAGCCTGTCGACAACTATTGGGTGCATGCTGATCCCAATACGGGTGACAATGCCACAGCTATCTTACGATATGCAGGCGCTCCCATCGTAAACCCCGTGAACATGACGACCTTAGTTTCGGAAGCTCTGAATGAGACCAGCCTACACCCTCTATTCCCGTCTTCGCCTCGTTTGATGGGGGAACCAGACATCACACTTAACCTTACGCTTGGGAAAAATCTGTCCGATTACAACTTCCTCATCAATGGCCTCCAGTACACTTCTCCTGAGCTCCCCGTCCTATTACAGCTGCTGAGCGGTGCTCTGACGGCGGCGGATCTTGCACCTACCGGCTCCGTATACACTCTGCCACGGAACAAGGTTGTCGAAGTTATATTCAATCCCGATAATTCCCCCGGGCGTCCAGTGAGTCCTTCAGTAATGTGTGTCCTTGATCGACTGGGACTGACTTATTTTTACAGCATCCATTCCACTTGCATGGGGTATGTCATGGCGTGTCATCTACATACTCGATGGACTAATAATGAATGGTTTATAGCACAGTTTCGCTGTTCTCAGAAGCGCTGGAAGCACCAGCTATGACTATGTCAACCCCGTCATGCGTGATACCGTGAACACTGGCGTCGCCGGTGATCGTGTGACTTTCCGGTTCATCACTGACAACCCTGGGCCTTGGCTGTTGCATTGGTAAGTGTTATATCTATGTCTTTTTAGCTGGTAATGACTTTCGATCTATCTGCAGTCACATCGAATGGCATCTATACACGTGAGTTACTCCTTTCGCTGAACGTGGACTCGAGTTAATCATTGGGTCCGTAGCGGATTAGCTATAGTCTTTGCAGAGGCTCCTGAAGATGTGGCGGCTGACCAGCCTGTCAACAGTAAGCACCGAGCACTATGAACTAGACCGCGTTCTGACGATCAGCATTAGGTGCTTCGTTGCAGCTCTGTCCGATATACAATAGCATTCCTCATCAAAATTTCCCTCTCCCTCCCGTTGATTGATGTGTTTCGGTTTATGCCTTCTCTTGGTCTAGATGACACCAAGCAGGACATTTTTTAAATCTGATTTGTGCTAGTGGACTCATGATACAGTAGGGTAGGATACAGTGGATAGTAACTCGTGCTCATCATCGGAGTCAGCGTAAGATGACTCCGGATCCCGATCGCTGGCTAGACGTTTTCCTAGGACAGACATCTAATAATTAGTTGTCAAGACTTGGTTCGAGATCTTTATTACTTGCTACGTAATCGATCGGCGTGGTGGATAAATTAAAATGGTTTTTCATTGTTCAACGACTGCTAGAACCCGTTGTTGGATCTCACCGACCCATAATTGCTTGACGAGCCTTGCGATGAGGATGTCGGTGGACTTGAGATGCAAGCAAAAGGTTTGGCTGGAGGATGAAGCCAATACTACTGTCCTTGGTTGTGATGGGTCGCCATGAATTGAATGCTGGGTGTGACGCTCTCGCCGAGAGATCATCCGAAGGTATGATTCCTATAAGGTGTCTGAGATGCGTTCTTGCATAAGACATGCTGCGATTGATCTTACTGTAATAAGATGTGTAGGTGGTTTTTACCGTATGATAATGTATTGTCCGCGCTGGCATCAAAACATACCTCGTCATGCTTCGCCTGCACCGCCTCCTTCTGCAAGAATCTGAGGGAGCTCACTGTAATACTTGTTCGCGGCTGCGCGAATAAAAAGGAGATGTTCTATAAAGGCGTGAGGTGGCTAGTCTTCTGTAAGATCCGGAGTTCCTCGGATGTGAAGAAGAGATGGAATAAAGAGAGTTGACTATGATGTTGTCAGTAAATATATGATAGAACGGTTTTAACTAAAGCAGGACGTACATGAGGAAGCCATAGGCAAGTGCGTCGGACACCGAAGAAGGCTGAGTCCTCTGCATCATGGTCTTCAAATGGGTAGTTTCTGCTCATATTCTTTTCTTAGACTGCGGTCCATTAGTATTTGAGTGATGCTGAGGTATGCAAAATAAGAGTCGAAGCTTGTTCAATGCGAGTGACAGTCGGCGATGTTGAAATGCGTCCTGCATGTTTGAACTAAATCATCACCCTTCCAAATGCGGCCTTCGATTATATCATCGCGTCGCGTCTACTCCGCAGAAACTTCATGAAAGCACTGGCAATATACCGACACACATGCCCCTCCCTCGCCTTTCTACGGTTCCCCAACAATACGTATCGTATTGCAGTACCACTCGCGCAATGTGCTGTCGTCTCACGATAAGGGCGTTGTCATGCAAGAAGATGAAAATCTTAAATTGTCTTTCACGGCCTTCAAATTCGTGCTTCTGAGTTGGTTTGTTGGTGGGGCCCAGCCTATGCTCGCCGCTCGGTGCTGCGAGGGTTCCAGTTCCCGATTTTTATGCCTAATTTTACAGCATAGGGATTTGGGTTTATTGAATGGTCATATAACAGCACCACGATGCTTTTTTGAATCGAAGAGGGAGGAATGAGCCATCCGGATACATCCAACTTTTCAGAAGGGAGGGCATCAAGCGCCAGTTTCTGTCCACCCACGTGCTATCATCGCCAACTTGTACGCGTGGGTCGAGTTCCTACATCGATTGTCCGTCAGGAAAGCGCAGCTTCAAAGGGCTTGTGACCTTCAGCTCATCGGAGTAGGGAATTCCTTGACAGTATTTGATATACGGCTGACACGTTCCAGGAGCGTTATTCACAACCCGTGGTGGTTCTGCATCCATACAGAAGACGAACCTATGTGATGCACAACAACTCCTGTGCTTAGAGTCACGTTTATTTTAGAAGACGGTTTTCTAATGCCGACCTGTATAATTTGCAAAGCTCCACTGCTAAGCTGCATAATAAGGAACACTCATCAAACTCCGTAGGCCTCCCCAACAACCAACAAGCCTGATGGACCTTCATCTTGGACTCATCATGCCACGGAATCATCTTCGCGCTCCCTAGGATACATACTATGTATGTTTTTTGGAACTGCGGAGATATAATTAGAATAGACTCATCATTTTGTCAGGTGTTCATTCTACACAGTGACAGCTGTTGTGGTGCAGGGGGCGGCAGCCACTCACGCTCTTGAAAATTGCTGTCAGCCTACTTTCTGCTTGCGGAGCCCATTTAAATCTGCCATTAGTTGCTGGGCAACTACTCCACATTGTGGTTGCATCACGAAAGATCCCTCGTAGCTTCTGCTTAAAAACAGATTCATCTCCATGCCAGTATCGAACTCGGCAACTGTCATCGCTACTGTGCCTGCGGCCAGGACTTGAAGATCGGTAGGCGCAGATATTTTGTCAACCCCGCCAATGCTCAGTACTTGTATAGCTTGGCTAGTGATCGGACCCTATTGCATTATACAAAGTGCTCCATTGTGTTCTACACGCCCAAAAAGGTCTGACGGCGGTAGATGTGGCTGACATGACAGCTTGGCTGCGTCTACAGACATCAATGTTTCTTCAGGCAATCCGGTGCAACTCCCCCAGCCAACGACGTCCCACAAAACATGCGGAAGACATGAAATTGCATTCAGGCACTTCATTTAATCGACAAGTCCCATCTGGGTGCTACCCAGCTTCGTAAGACTCGCATCGCTCATGGAGAGTGCCTTTGACAGGTAATCAATTTTCTCATTCTACAGGTCCTTAATGTATTCGAATCTATCAGCGGAGACCTACAGATGGGAATCTGCTGTGACATACCGGTACGTGGAACTACTGCCACATAGTCGATTATTTCGATCCACGAATCGGAAGATATGCAAACTGACTCTCTGATCCAGAGGGTGATACCAACACGGGCAATTACTGCCTCATAGTCGATTGTTTCGATCCACGAATCGGAAGATATGTAGAATGATCCTCCGTTCTAGAGGGCGATACCAGGAGCACTACTTAAGCTGGAGGATGCAATACGTTTCGCTCATCTTCCTCCTCCCATTGACTCGAGTGTTGAGTCATGTTCCAACTCTATGTATTCTTGTGCTTGCTAGCAAGTCTCCAGGGTCATGCCGCGACCATTGGCCCAGTTTCTGACCTCGTCATTGCCAATGGCGTTGTATCCCCAGACGGATTCACTAGATCGTCAGTGTCAGCTGAATTTTCGACCTATTTGATTACTGATGTCATTGCAGGGCGGTTCTTGCTGGCGGCACTCATCCCGGGCCCACTATCATGGCTCAGAAGGTAACATCTGCTTTGCATGCGCAAACTCTTGGTTGACCTCATGTGTATTTGTGTATTTAGGGGGATACGTTCAATATCAACGTCACGAACCAATTGACGAACCAGTCGATGTTAACGAGTACGAGTATCGTAAGCACCTCCTGATAAATGCATGTAGGAGCTTACAATAATGTCTATCGCAAACAGCATTGGCATGGACTATTCCAGCATCACAGCAACCAAATGGATGGCGTGGCATTTGTGACGCAATGTCCGATTGCTCCAGGAAACTCTTTTCTATACAACTTCACTGCTGGCGACCAAGTGGGAACATACTGGTACCACTCTCATTATGGAGTTCGTGCTTCGATTTTTCATGGTGTCTGTGACTGAATTCAATTCAGGCCCAATACTGTGACGGTCTACGAGGTCCGTTGATCATCTACGATCCAAACGACCCATACAGCTCATTGTACGATATTGATGACGGTGAGTGAGTTTGACGGAACGGAGTTGCGTTTCTCACATTCAGATCAAGAGTCTACTATCATCACATTGATGGACTGGTAAGAAAGGAAAGGTCGATGTATCTCTTTCTGTTATTCAATCGGTTTGTTTTGTAGGTATAACCTGCCATCGCCTCAAGTACAGAGACAAGTGACTGCCGACTCGGTACTCATCAATGGTGTCGGGAGTTATGTTGGAGGGCCGGACGTGCCTTTCGCCGTCATCGACGTTCAGCCAAAAACGAGATATCGTTTCCGCTTGCTGAACATGGCGTGCAAGCCAAACTACATCTTCTCGATCGACGGTCACAATCTTACTATAATCGAAGTCGATGGCCAATACGTCGAGCCGCTCGTGGTAGACTCTATTCAGATCTACGCTGCGCAAAGATACTCGTTTATTCTCGAGACAGACCAGCCTGTCGACAACTATTGGGTGCATGCCGATCCCGATGCAGGTACGAATGCCACAGCTATCTTACGATATGCAGGCGCTCCCATAGCGGACCCCGTGAACATGACAGCCTTAACCTGGGATGCTTTGAATGAGACCAGTCTACACCCCCTATCTCTGCCTTCGTCTCGTTTACTGCAGGAACCAGACATCACACTTGACCTTGTTCTTGGGAAAAATCTGTCCAATTTCAACTTTCTCGTCAATGGGGTCCAGTACACTTCTCCTAGTATCCCTGTCCTGCTACAGTTACTGAGCGGTGCTATGACGGCGGCGGATCTTGCGCCCAACGGCTCCGTATACACTCTGCCACGGAACAAGGTCATTGAAGTCTCATTCAACCCCGATAATTCTCCTGGGGGTCCCGTGAGTCCATTTCGAGACGTTATGTATGTCCTTGATTGACACGTTTTTACAGCATCCATTCCACCTGCACGGGGTACGTCTTGGCGTGTCATTCACATACACTCGATGGACTGACAAAATTGGTTTATAGCACAGTTTCGCTGTTGTCAGAAGTGCTGGGAGTACCAGTTATAACTATGTCAACCCCGTCATGCGTGATACCGTGAACACTGGCAACCCCGGTGATCGTGTGACTTTCCGGTTCCTCACCGACAACCCTGGGCCTTGGCTGTTGCATTGGTAAGTGTTGTATCTATGTCTCTCTAGCTGGGAATGACTTTCGGTGTTTGTCAAGTCATATCGATTGGCATCTATACACGTGAGTTGCGCCCTCCTTTCGCTGAGCCTGGACTCGAATTAATCATTGGGTCCGTAGTGGATTAGCTATAGTGTTTGCAGAGGCTCCTGAAGATGTGGCGGCTGACCAGCCTCTCAATAGTAAGCACCGAGCACTATGAACTAGACTGGGGTCTGACGATCGGCGTTAGATGCTTCGAAGCAGCTCTGTCCGATATACAATAGCATTCCTCCGCAGAATTTCCCTCTCCCTCCCGTTGATTGATTTTTTTTGGATCATCCTTCTTTTTTTTCTAGAGATCAATCAGGACATTTTTCAGATGCGATTTGGACTCATGATAGAGTAGGGTAGGACACAATGGACAGTAAATAGCGCCCATTCTTAATGCGAAATGTGATGTTCGAGTTGTGATTGATAGCCGTACGTCCGTATCGTTCATCATCAGCACATAATGTGAATTAGTTACGAATACATGGCCTGTGTTTTGTATTCCGTGGGGGGAGGGCGTGCTCAACAGCACCAGATAGAGGTATCGGAATTCCGTTGAAAACCACGTGTCTGTATAGCTACTACATGTTATAACCAAGGGTAAATGCTCGTAGGCAATTGTGACGATGGAGTGCTTTCACCGGTTGGAAATCAATCATGACTTGGAGCTTTCCCTGGCGAGTAGTACAGGTAAGTGAACAACGTGGCATCGAACAGAAGTGCTACCAAGCAAGAGCAAAATCAAGCAGGAGATTCGGGTCTACTGTCAACTGAGGATAAGACCTATTCTCTGCTGGCAAGCAACGGGAGGTTGATAACGAATGCATTGTCCATCGATTTGGTGCCAGATCTCTGTTGTGCAGGATACCAGTACGAAGGTGGCTCGTATTTGTATCTCGTTCCGGTTTCGAGCGGTCACTTCAGAAAAGTCAATATTTTGGCGATATCATAAGTGAGATGATTGTAGATACCTTTAATGGGAGGTCTATGGTGACCTCAGAGCTAGGACCTTTCCTGCATTCAATAACCTCTTTGACGTGGTCATAAACGTGCCTAAGTGTAACTGCATCTGGCAGTAGAACCCAACGATTTGCATCGAATTTCTTATGCCAGTCCGAGGAGCAGACTGCAGACTAACGTCAGTATCACAATTCCACAGAAAATGCCATGGTGTATCGTACGATGCAAAAGGTTTTCCTTACTGACAACATCTCAAGTTTCGAGTTTTTTCCATAAGATGACTCTGATCCCGACCGCTGGCTAGACGGGATCCGACAAGAAACTTAAACTCAAACATCATCTGCTAATAAATGTCAAAACTTGATGAACGCATGAGTCCGCGAGCCAACAAATGCGTCGAGCTAGAACGCACGTACTATACTTTGACACCTGCATAGATCATGTCCGTAACGAATTCGAAAAGATCCATTACTTAATCGATCAGGAATGAGCTGTTAGATAATAACAAAGCCAAACAGATCGGGCCAATATTACATAACAAGATGTTGATGCGCCATGCACTGTTATTGAATGCCCGGTGCGACGCCTCCAGGCTCGGAGACTATGGTAGCTTCTCGATAAGTACGTCAAATTGAAGTTCCACGCCTGAGGTAAGTTCTTGCATAATGCATGCTGCGGTCCCCATGGAAAGAGATGGTGCTTTTTAGATGCCGACAGGCGATCACTGGGCTAGAGGTTTTGCAATGATCCGTGATGTGCACCGACGGTACCACGACCGGTCCAATTGCAAAAGTCTCGTTGTCTCAATTAATGTTTCCTATTTGCCACCTATTCATTCTTGTCGTGTGACGTGAGTTCATTTCTGCACTCTACTACGTGCTAAAATTGGGTGTCATTCGAGACATGGTCTCCATACAGTTGTGGATGGCGACACCAGTGCAGATCGTTTCACGGTCATGACATTACCACGGCACGCATATTGATACAAGTAAAATAGCCCGATCCTGTATGGCGACGCAAGTGAAGCGCAGTAGATGTCCTATGGCCGTCAAAGGCGCTGTACTTAGGACCTAAGCGGCGAAAAGGTGGTTGTGTGCGAGATTCCTGCGCAGACAGGGACGACGAGAGTTTATGTGTACATCCGTTGGATGCGACTATAGCTGCGGTCTAAAGGTGGCAATGTGTTCAGAAATCGATAGATTTTACACAAGTAATACCACCTGCCTCGCACTTTACATCTTGCAGCACGAACTAACGCTCCTACCTCCCAAGTTTCATCCGCTTCCTGGCAGGGGTATCCGAAGCCATAACTTGTGAGTCACGTTTCTTGGCACCTACGACCCAGCCGCTCTTCCCAAGCAGTAACACATCAGGTGAAGAGTTTGGGAGCCATATTTCTCCCTCCGCATCCTCGTCTTCGTCCATTACATTGCCCAGACTGTCAGAGGAGAACTCAAGTAAAGGGTCAGACGCGAAAGGAAGTTCATTGTTATCTGTGTCCAGCGGCGTAGAACTTGAGCTGCGGGCAGTCGGAGGACTCGAAGATCGCCCAGCGAGGTGTGGACTCGAACTCCTCCCTGTGGTAAGTACGCTCGAGCTCCTGGTATTAGGCATAGGACTCGAGCTCCGAGCTGACGCGTTTGACTTGGCACGGGGAGGTGGTTTCTTCACAGGCGTAGCGGTTACAAGGGTGATCGCTGGCGCCGCGCGAGATTGGGAGGATTGGGACAGGGAATCCGTGCGCCCAATGATGCGCTTAACAGTTGCAGCAAGCACCTTGTTCTCTCCCTGTGACACTGCAGCCATCGACCGATCTTTCCCTTTCCATGTACGAGACATGCTGATCTGCCGTGTTAGTGCACGCTGAAGTGCCTTTTCCTGCGTTGCGCCTACGCTTGCTGCACGTTCCTTTTCTTTTTCCTGCGCGAGTGACACCGACAGCGAGCGAGTGCGAGCAGGGACCCTTGCCGTTACACCACTTTGTGAGCCTGTTGCAGTAGTCGATGATGAATGATGATGAGAACGAGACCGGGGAAATGATTTCTCTGTAGATGGTCCTGGAGAAGGGGGTTCGTTGGAGAAAGGAGAGTTTGGGAAGAGTTTGGAGCGGAGGAGGGTACATTGCTCCGGGAGCTTTGATTTGAACCTGTGATGATTAGATAATTAGGATGCGATCGAAATATGCGTAAGGTGGTCACCCACAGTGGTTCGACTACGTCCTCGCAGAATTTTTGCATCCAGTCACGTTCATTCTTATTGCGAGTCGTAATCTCATTGCGAGATGTATCCATGAGTGATACGAGTTGCCACATCGAGAGTTTGTCCATGAAGGATTCGAGACGCTCGATAGAGGATGGGACGATCAACTTTGCTTTTTCTTTCTTCTTTTTCCGTGAACGGCTGGGTTTGGCGGGCGAAATGAATGGAATGTTATTGGTGGGTGGCACTTCGACAGGCGGTAATGGGGTGCATGGTCCAGGAAGAGAGAGCTTGAGGAAATACAGCAGGATCTGAATCTGAACTCTACAAAGTCATTATGATGCGCCCAAATACAAGATAAAGGCACTCACTCACGCTTCTCCATGCGCTCAAGCCAGCCAGACCTCCACTTCTCTTCTAGCATCGCGTTGTCTTCTCGGTTGAGGTGTTCGCTACGCTCCATGCTGGCATCGACTTTCTCGTACCCCAAAGCATACCACATCATGCTCTCCTCTGCTTCTCCTGCACCGCCTCCGTCTGCGAGGATCTGAGGAAGCTCGTTCTGGTACTTGTTCGCGGCTGCGCGAAGAGAAAGGAGGAGAGGCTCGATAAAGGCGTGAAGAGGATGTGGCTGGTCTTCTGCAAGATCCGGAGTTCCTCGAATACGAAGAAGAGATGGAATGAATAGAGAGAGCGGCATGATTGACTATAATGTTGTTAGTAAATATATAGAACTGTTAGAGCAGGACGTACATGAGGAAGCCATAGGAAGTGAAGGTAAGTGCGCTGAACGAAGAGGGCTGGATCCGCTGGATCGTGATCTTGCAAGGGATAGTCTCTGCTCAGACTCTTTTCTTGGGCAGCGGTCCATTTGAGTGAGGCTGGAGTATGCAAATCAAAAGCTTGCTGAAGTGACATGGGCGATCCTCAGTGTAAGTCAATGAGATGCGTGGCACGTGACCGCGTTTAGTTCATCATAATATTCTTGTTCGGTAATTTCCTGGCGGAAGTTCTCGCCGATTCCACTCATCGATTTTCACACAATCCCATGTATTCTCGAAAGGGGGGCGCGGTGGTGTGTTTGAATGTTATCGTCCTTTTTTCACAAGACATCATAGCTAACTGGAATTTTCATTGTGTCTAACACGCGAATTCTGGTTTACTACATCAAGTAGCAGTACTAGTACAAGTTGGGACCGTTAATCGACACTCTCACACCCATTGTGAATCCTTGCCTGTTTTACAGCTGAAAAACAATAAGGAATGATGATAGTAGCGAAAAAAAAGGTCAGGAATGCCTCTTGGAGACATGTTTTAGTTGTCGCGCTTTTGGGCTATTAGCCAGAAGCTTCTGTTTGCAACGGTATTATACACGAATGGTACACCATGCATATACTAATAACTTACCTTTCTGGTAGTCATAGTTAGGTTCAACCTTCTCTCGTTTGAATGGTGAGTCGGGGGAATCGGGGGAGTCAGGTGAGTCGGGGGAGTCGGGGGAGTCGGGGGAGTCGGGGGAATCAGGAGAGTCAGGAGAGTCAGGAGAACCAGACGAAGCAGGGTCCCTAGCGTCAAAAACGACGATGTCTCCAGGAAGTTCGCGCTGAACCAAAGCTACATAATGTATCAGTATCACTTCCACTAACTAGAGAGCGCCTGCTCACAATTACATTCTAACCCCATTTCTGGTGTGGGATATGCCACAGCAATAGTGGCAAAGGTTACGAGGATCGTGAAAGCAAGTGGGAGCTGCATTGCTGGAAGTGAGAGAAGTGAGTGCTGTTTCGAAAACTTGCTCGGCTTCTTGTTTTTATATCTCATGGCATGAAGTTATCTCGGATTACCTGCGGAGAACGGGAGGTCAACTTCGGTACATGAACGATTAACTACACATGGACATATCGTAAGGCCGAGAGGATATCCGGGCCTCGTTTACAAGGCGTCTTCATGGTATTATTCAGGCCCGTTCTGGTTGGTACGAACTTCAAATCTTCAACTTGCTGTACCGATTGGTTGTGCAAGGTCCTCGTGGGATAACTTGACCAGCTTGGTTGTAATGGCCTAAAATATCATCAGGGTCGTTCTGAGGGGTGACGCCAAAACTGAAGGCATGGTGTAATTTGGGCTTCCTTACTGAACAATTTAGTTTCTAGGTTTGAACTTACAAGCCAAACAAAGACCTATCATATCTTGTGAGCAAAACGTCAATGACAGTGACATACATAGTAGCAGCCGCATATGGCTAGAGCAGAGATAAGTCACGAATGTTTGGTACATAAGTAGGGAACTTACTCGAACCTCTGGCGAACATTATCTCTAGAAAGTAGAGCCTTGTTAGTAGGTAAGAAAGTCGGAGTGTGATCGTCAGCGCTTGTCTTAAACGATTCAACAAAGTATAGATACCTGTAAACAGATTGTTGAGCTGCAAAATACAAGAGCTCAAGTTGGATCGTACGAGTCAAGTCCCGTACCGGTATTTACGCCATCCAGTGCTGACCTGCACTATTCTGCGAGGTCACATAATAGTAGCTGAAACACGCACGAGATTGGTGGGAAAAACTTGAAGCCATCGAATTCGAAGAACTCCCAGTTGTATTAAGCGCAAACTTCGTTTTATCAGGCGGCGTTTGTGCGGCATATCTTTGAAAAATAAGGAATGTGCTGCCGTGGCATGCCGCGGATATAGTTATGTAGTAGGGTTGATTCAGAACCGATGGATGATGGCGTGAAGTCGATGGAACAAGTCTACACTGCAAAGCAGCGCAATTCAATGACTGGGAACAGGTCAGTATATGTGGTCAGAGTAGTATAAACTTGAACGTACGTAAGGAAAGTGAAGGTATCAAGAAAAGTGTGCTCGATGTCGATGATATCGATTATTGGGTCTGCTTACTCGTCGAGCATTAGCAAAGCGCCGCTGAACTCATTCATTGAATGGCGATCAGTTAGAGCACAGCCTCGAGTCGCTGCATGTGGCCGCATTTAGAATCTAAATTTCCAAACCTAGTCTGGGTTAATGGTCGGGCCCTTTGGTGCCCACACTAACCGTGAACACGCCATCGTCGACAAATACTTATCCAGAACACTAACGAGTCCGCCCTCAACTATCTGCTTTTTCGTACACACAATAAGGATCTCAGAATCGATCTACACACACCAACCTGAGCTAGTGTTGATGCCGTGGCTCTACGATGTATCAAACTCTGTACTTCTTCTCGCGACCCCTCCCCAATTTGAAAGCTGAACAGTAATAAGACCTCATAGCAATTTAAGAAGGAAAAAACCCATACCTCTCTCGAATATATTGTCTATTTGTAGCGCTTCTCGTCCTTGAAACGATAGACAAAAGCCTCTAGTGTGACTTGTTATACATAGTAGTCCACGAGACTTGTAATGACTTACTTCTCTTGTGAACGCGATGAGATCCAACATCCTCGCGCCCCGTGTCGCCGCTGTCGCTGCCATCATTTTCGTCGACTGAACCAGAGACAGCGGACTTGGAGTCGCGGGAGTTGGAGCTTCTCTTGTTAATGCGATGAGATCCGACGTCCTCGCGCCCCGTATCGCCGCTGTCGCTGTTGTCACTTTCATTGGTTGAACTAGAGACAGACTTAGAGACAGGGGAGTTGGAGCTTCTTCTTTCAACGCGAGAACCAATATCCTCTCGTCCCGTGTCGCCGCTGTCGCTGCCATCATTTTCGTCGACTGAACCAGAGACAGCGGACTTGGAGTCGCGGGAGTTGGAGCTTTTCTTGTTAATGCGATGAGATCCGACGTCCTCGCGCCCCGTATCGCCGCTGTCGCTGTTGTCACTTTCATTGGTTGAACTAGAGACAGACTTAGAGACAGGGGAGTTGGAGCTTCTTTCAAAGCGAGAACCAATATCCTCTCGTCCCGTGTCGCCGCTGTCGCTGCCGTCATTTTCGTCGACTGAACCAGAGACAGCGGACTTGGAGTCGCGGGAGTTGGAGCTTCTTTTGTGAACGTAGTGAGATTCAATATCCTCACGTCCCGTGTCGCCGCTGTCGCTGTTGTCACTTTCATCGGTTGAGCTAGAGACAGACTTAGAGACAGGGGGTTCGGAGCTTCTTCTTTCAACGTGAGAACCAACATCCTCCCGTCCCGTGTCGCCGCTGTCGCTGTTGTCACTTTCATCTGTTGAACCCGAGACAACGGACGTAGAGTCAACGCGAGAGTTGGAACGTTTCTTGAAGACGTCGCGAGATCCAACATCCTCGCGCCCCGTGTCCCCGCTGTCACCATTATCTACTGTATCAGACCTTGTCTTGTGGACATGGTGAGATTCAGCCTCCTCGCGCACCCCACGCTCCTCACTCCCCGTGTCATCATTGTCGATGTCGTCGTCGTCGTCGGCTTCGCCACTCGCATCAGGATCGGCGGTCTTATCATCTGAATCAGAAGTAACGGACTTGTCGGAATCAGAATCGTCGGAGTCAGAATCAACGGATTTGTCGTCAGAGTCAGAGTCGGAGGAGTCAGAAGCAACGGACTTGTCGTCAGAATCAGAGTCGGAGGAATCAGAATCGGAGGAATCAGAATCGACGGACTTGTCGTCGGAGTCAGAGGAGTCGGAGTCAGAGTCAGAGGAGCCGGATGGATGAGGCAATGGGAGTAATTCAGGCGACGCGAGAAAATCAGGCGTATCACCAAAGTCAAGCGAGTCAGGTGTATCCGGTGTATCCGGTGTATCAGGCTTCTCAAGCCTAGGCTTGAGATGGCCGATGAGGTTGGAGGAGAAAAGCTCCTGGCGCTTGGCCAGAGCTGCATAGCATATCAGTAACTCTCACCGGCAAAAATGGCACGAGTCCTCAAGCCTGAGTCAGAACTCACAAGCGTGTTTTTTGACTAATTTTGGTGTCGAATGTGATGCAGCAATAGCAGCAAATGTAACGAGTGTGGTGAAAATGAGTGTGAGCTGCATGGTTGGAATCGAGAGTGGGTATTCGGTCGAGGGGACTTCTAGTCAACATCGCGAGGGCTTTTATTTGTCACGAACTCAGATGAACCGAGGTTCAGGATACCTTCCAACTTGGCACTTACGAGGCATCCCTTCTAGGGTATATTTCAGATCCGTGTCTGGCTAAGACGAATTTCAAAGCCCTTCTCTTGCTGTAACACTTTACCACTACTCGGTCTTCAGGAATGACTGGACCCAATCAGATCTCATGAAGACGGATATATCAGTAACATTTCTAGAAAAGGTGACGTTAATAGTATTCGAAGGCATTGCATAAACGTTAAAGTTCGGACTCTCTTACTAAATTGTGTCTCGGGAGTACGGCTCCATGAACCAATGTCAAGTATTAGGCAATGTACAGATGATTTAGAACAAGAGGAGACATGAACCGAAAATATCAATCAACAGGAGGGAGAGGGAAATTCTGCGGAGGAAGGCTATTGTATATCGGACAGAGCTGCTTCGAAGCATCTGACGCTGATTGTCAGACCCGGTCAAGTTCATAGTGCTCGATGCTTACTATTGACAGGCTGGTCAGCCGCAACATCTTCAGGAGCCTCTGCAAACACTATAGCTAATCCACTACGGACCCAACGATTAATTCGAGTTCAGGCTCAACGAAACGAGGGCGCAACTCACGTGTATAGATGCCAATCGATATGACTTGACAAACACCGAAAGTCATTCCCAGCTAGAGAGACATAGATACAACACTTACCAATGCAACAGCCAAGGCCCAGGGTTGTCGGTGATGAAACGGAAAGCCACACGATCACCGGGGTTGCCGGTGGTCACGGTATCACGCATGACGGGGTTGACATAGTTATAACTGGTACTCCCAGCACTTCTGACAACAGCGAAACTGTGCTATATACCACTTTTGTCAGTCCATCGAGTGTATGTGGATGACACGCCAAGACGTACCCCGTGAAGGTGGAATGGATGCTGTAAAAACATGTCAGTCTCTGTCGATCAAAGACATACACGACGTCTCTTGAAATGGACTCACAGGACCCCCAGGCGAATTATCGGGGTTGAATGAAACTTCAATGACCTTGTTCCGTGGCAAAGTGTATACGGTGCCGTTGGGCGCAAAATCCGCCGCCGTCATAGCACCGCTCAGTATCTGTAGCAGGACAGGGATACTAGGAGAAGTGTACTGGACCCCATTGACGAGAAAGTTGAAATTGGACAGATTTTTCCCAAGAACAAGGTCAAGTTTAACGTCTGGTTCCTGCATTAAACGAGACGAAGGCGTGAATAGGGGGTGTAGACTGGTCTCATTCAGAGCATCCCAGGTTAAGGCTGTCGTGTTCATGGGGTCCGCGATGGGAGCGCCTGCATATCGTAAGATAGCTGTAGCATTTGTACCTGCATCGGGATCGGCATGCACCCAATAGTTGTCGACAGGCTGGTCTGTCTCGAGAATGAACGAGTATCTTTGCGCAGCGTAGATCTGAATAGAGTCTACCACGAGCGGCTCGACGTATTGGCCATCGACTTCGATTATAGTAAGATTGTGACCGTCGATCGAGAAGATGTAGTTTGGCTTGCACGCCATGTTCAGCAAGCGGAAACGATATCTCTTTCGTGGCTGAACGTCGATGACAGCGAAAGGCATGTCCGGCCCTCCATCATAACTCCCGACACCATTGATGAGCACCGAATCTGCGGTCACTTGTCTCTGTACTTGAGGTGATGGAATGTTATACCTACAAAGCAAACCGATTGAATGACAGAAAAAGATACATCAACCTTTCCTTTCTTACCAGTCCATCAATGTGATGATAGTAGACTCTTCACTTGAATGTGAGAAGCGTAACTCCATTTCATCGAACTTACTCACCGTCATCGATATCGTACAATGAACGGTATGGGTCGTCGGGATCGTAGATGATCAGCGGACCTCGTAGACCGTCACAATATTGGACCTGAATTAGATTTAGTCACAGACACCATGAATAAATCAAGCACGAACTCCATAATGAGAGTGGTACCAGTATGTCCCCACTTGGTCGCGAGCATTGAAGTCGTATAAAAAGGAATGTCCTGGAGCAATCGGACATTGCGTAACGAATGCCACGCCATCCATTTGGTTGCTGTGATGCTGGAATAGTCCATGCCAGTGCTGTGTGCGATAGATATCATTGTAAGCTCTTACATGCATTTATCAGGAGGTGCTTACGATACTGGTACTCGTTAGCATCGATTCGTCACTCAATTGGTTCGTGACGTTAATCTTGAACGTATCCCCCTTAATGCACATGATGTCAATTAAGCGTTTGTGCATGCAAAGTAGACGCTACCTTCTGAGCCATGATAGTGGGCCCCGGATGAGTGCCGCCAGCAAGGACCGCCCTGCAACGACATCAGTAATCAGATAGGTCGAACATGTAGCAGACGCTGACGATCTGGGGAACCCGTCTGGGGATACAACGCCATTGGCAATGACGAGGTCAGAAACTGGGCCAATAGTCACAGCATAAACCCGAAGGCTTGCCAGAAAGCATAAGAATACATAGAGTTGGAACATGACTCAACACTCGAGTCAATGGGAGGAGGAAGATGAGCAAAACACATTGCATCCTCCAGCTTAAGTAGTGCTCCTGGTGTCACCCTCTGGGATCTAGTACATATTTTCCGATTCGTGGATCGAAATAATCAACTATGAGGCAGTAATTCTCCATACTGGTACGTCACAGCAGATTCCCATCTATAGGCCGTCAACTCGAATGCATTACGGACTTGTAGAATGGAAAAATTACGTACTTGTCAATGGCACTCTCCATCGGCGATACGAGTCCCGCGAAGCTGAGTAGCATCCAACAGGGACTTGCCGATTCAACGGAGTATCTGAATGCGCTTCCATGTCTTCTGCATGCATGTTGTTGTTGGCCGGAGGGATTGCAGCAGATCGCCTGAACAAACATTAATGATTCCAGACACGGATAGGCTGTCATGTCGGCCACACCTACCGCTGCCAGGCCTCTTTTGGGCATACAGGACACGATGGCGCTTTCAAGGATGTTGTTGGCCAAGGGTGTTGCAGCAGATCGCCTGAACAAACAATAGTGATTCCAGACGTGGCTAACCTGTCATATCGGTGACACCTACCGCCATAAGACCTCCTTTAAGCATATAGGACACATGTGCAATAGAGCAATTTTGTATAACACGCTGGGGTCCGATCGCTGGAACCTATACCTGTGTTACGCCTTGGCAGGGTTTTCAAAATACCGATGACTAGTCATCTTCAGGCACAACAACGATGAATTTGACAGTTGCTTACAAGTTCGAGACTGGTATGGAGATGATTCTGCAGAAGCTTTGATGAGCCGAGTCTAATCATATCTCCGCAGAAATTATAATCCAATCCGTGAGATGTGATTCGCTGGACCACATTGCAGCGACATCCTGGAGCCGTCGAGTGCCTATGTAGGCACATGAATAACATTCGGTCAACGATGGCCGCTGAGGTCGGGTAACAGATCTGCGACCTCCTGTTGACTGGCAATTTGAAAATTGAGACGTCAGTATAAACATATCAACATGACGTGCACCTCCAATTACCGACTTCGTGCTTGCAAAGGGATGTTGGGTGGATACTATAGGCGAATAGTTGAGAGCAGCTCATTTCTTGTGTGATCTTATTCGAACGTCATTATCTGAATGCAATGCACCTGTTGGATGTTCGTGGATAACCAACCAGACTTGTCTCGCTCATTCAAATTGGAACCGAATTCAAGGCAGTGAAGTGTGACAGAGAAAAAGAGTAGAGTTGTAAGTCTAAACATATGTATGTAGAAGTTAAAACCGAAGTGCTGCCGACTTGTTACCCACGACCAATGATTTCAGGGCCAAAATAAGTCACGGTGGTAGTGTTGATCACGATGGACAGCTCCTACCAGTGGCACCGTCATGGGTAGCTCACCGCTGGCCCCTACACGACCTCTTTTGCGGCGCCATGCTCGCCTGGTCCTGTTCACCATCACCCTCGTCCTGCTCATCCTTTTTCATTCATCAACCTTAACCTTCCTGTCTCCTGCGTTCTCTCAATTCGACTCATACGAGCTCAACCATCGCTCCGAAATCCTTTCCAAATGTGCCTATATACGCGCCAAACCCGGGCCTCCACCCCATTTCCATGCACGAACACAGAGTGACCGCTACGCAGAAAACACAAAGCCTGTTCTCGTGCGTAACGCAACTATCTGGACAGCCGCTAATGATGGGCACGAAGTCCTCACTGGCGACCTGCTCATGCACCGCGGTCTTATACAAGCCATCGGCGATGTTCCTCTTTCAATGATTCAGCAGCTCGAGTTGCAGAACATGAACTTGGAGATTGTCGATGCTCATGGAGCTTGTGTGACCCCTGGCATTGTAGATTTGCACTCTCATATTGGCGTCGGCAGTGCGCCCGAGCTAGATGGTGAGTTTCTTTGCTATTCCGCATAGACATTGGATTCCATGTCCTGCAGGTGCAGATGACACGAACTCTTACAAGGCCCCCATCTTGCCCTGGCTGCGTAGTATCGACGCCCTCAACACCCATGATGCATCATACGAACTCGCTATGGCTGGAGGCGTCACCACCGCACAAATTCTCCCTGGCAGCGCGGATAATATTGGTCAGTGCTGTCTTGCTCTATACTTCGTCTGAACGCTCATCTTAAACTAGGCGGCCAGGCATTTATCATGAAATTACGTCCTACAGCTGAGCGCTCACCTTCTTCTATGCTCCTTGAGCCTCCCTACACCCTCAATGGCTCTCACTTTGACCACTCTCTCACGCCTCGCTGGCGACATATGAAGTATGTCGTTTCGCTTTCACTTCCTCGTTCTTCTCTTACTTGTCTTCCATTCACTTTTAAATCTAACAGACATGCATGCGGTATGTTCTGACGAATATCCTCATAGTCCTTGCTCACCTGGCCATAAGGTGAAAACCCCTCCAGTGCCTATGGCATAACCCGCCTTGACTCTGGGTGGAACTTCCGCGCCGCCTACGACCACGCGAGAAAGTTGCGTGATGTCCAAGACGATTTCTGCACCAAAGCAGAGTCTCATTCCTGGGACGACCTTGCGGGCAAGACGTTTCCTGAAGACCTGCAATGGGAATCCCTTGTCGATGTGCTTCGTGGACGCGTGAAGCTTGCCGTGCACTGCTACGAAGCCGTTGATCTTGACGGAATCGTTCGTGTGCGTTTAGACTTGCTTAGAATAATTCTTTTCCTAATCTATATTTGCATGTGGTTGCTTAATATATGGGCGTGGACAGCTTACAAATGAGTTCGAGTTTCCAGTAGCATCGTTCCATCATGCTGGAGAAACGTACCTCGTTCCTGAGTTGTTGAAGAAGACGTGGGTGAGTCTTTCCTCTTTCCTCGGTTCCCATTCACAACTTCCTTTTGATAACGTTCCTTTCCATCAGGGAGGCACGCCTGCCATAGCACTCTTTGCGTCCAACTTCCGGTACGTATACATGGATTGACTCCTCCAAATCTGCTGATACGGTTGGTCTTGCGCGAAGGAAGAAACGTGAGGCATATCGAGGATCGGAGTTCGCTCCGCGCATACTGGCAGAGCACGGAATTGATGTTGTCATAAAGGTCAGTGTCGCCTTACTTCATCGCTCTGCTTTCCTCTTCCTCATAGCACATCAACACATTCTTTGTATAATGTATACAGTCCAATTTTGGTTTTAACATTATACTTGCAGTCTGACCACTCCGTTATTAACTCCCGTTACCTGCTGCATGAAGCCGCCCAAGCGCACTACTATGGCTTGGACTCTGCACTCGCACTCCTCTCTGTCACCTATACTCCTGCCAAGGCCATGGGGATGGGCCATCGGATCGGGATGCTGAAACCAGGTGTGTGAGACTACTATGTAAGTCTAATGCAGAAACTTAGTCTTGGTTGAATCGCAGGATATGATGCGGGTATGTCTTGCAGTCAGGAGCTTTTCAAAGAGGTCTAATTAGGCCCAGATATTGTATTTTGGTCCTCCCACCCGCTTTCGCTTGCTTCAACGCCTACCCAGGTTTACATTGATGGTATCCCCCAACTCTCCCTTCACGGCTGCCATGTCGCTAAAGGGCCCACCACGCCCCCACGCACCCCCAATTTTGACTCTGAGAAGGTGGCAGCGGTCGTGTACGAGGGTATCCCCCCTCTTGACCCTCGAAGCGTGAAAGGGGTGTTATTCGTAAATGTTTCGGGGCTTTATATAAGAGGTGGGGGCTCGAGTGGGGTGGTGCATGTTTCTGAGCAGGTGGGATCGGTGGGTGTTGAAGACGGTCGAGTGGTGTGTGTTGGTCAATGCTGGGATTTTGCAGAACGGGTTGTCGATATCGTGGATCTTGAAGGTGGCACGATCACACCTGGACTGACAAGCTTCGGTGCACCGCTGGGGCTCGTAGAGATAAGGCTGGAGCCAAGTACGAACGACGGAAGTGTTTACAACCCTCTCAATGGGGATCTTCCCACCATATTGGGTGACACGATCACGAGAGCACAAGACGGGCTCATGTTTGATGGTCAGAACTTGCTGTGTGTATCCCTCTATTCTTTTCGTCCAGTGTCTGCACTTCCGAATTGACTTTTTGGATTGCAGACTAGCTTATCGCGGCGGTGTCACAACGGCCATCACCGCGCCTTCTGGGACCTTCCTGCAGGGCGTATCCACTGCATTCTCTCCTGGAGCTGCGCATGCCCGAGTGGAAAATGCAAGCATTGTCGATCAAGTCGCATTGCATGTGAGTATAAGCATGTCTTCAAGCATAGGTGTGAGTACGCAGGTAGCGGCACTTAGGAAAATGTTGTATGGGAAGGGTGGGGATGAGGTGCTCGGGAGTGTTAGACAGGTTGGCTTACTGTGCTTCTCCCGCGTTGAATCAATGCTGACATCTAGAATTGAGGGTGAAACCATGCTCGTTGTGGACGTTGAGAGCGCAGACATAATGGCGACATTGCTCCGGCTCAAGGATGAGTACGAGGCTCACTCCGAGAGGGAGCTTCGTATGACCTTCGCGGGGGCAACTGAGTCTCATCTTCTTGCGCACGAGATTGCGAGGGCAGGTGTGAGCGTGATCGTCACGCAGAGCAAGCCATTCCCATCGACTTGGGAGCAGCGGAGGATGTAAGTATCCCCATGCCCTTTCTTCTTAGTGTTTTTTTTTCTCGTTTATGCTCACCTGGCTATCACACAGACTCGCTGGCCCGCCGATCACGCACGAAAGTCTAGTTACTGCGTTATTAAAGGCTGGCGTCAATGTGGCCATTGGTGTTGTTGACGAGAACAACGTGCGGCATACACGTTTCGAAGTCGGCTGGGTGTGTTGTGTTGGACTTCTTTTGATGACATGTTTACTAACGTCAGCCCCAGTCTCTCCTAACATCCAATGGCACTATTGATCGCACGACAGCTCTCGCACTCGCCACGACAAATCTCGAGAAAGCGCTTGGAGTGCAGAGGGAGATGCCTCAGGACCTTGTGGCATACCGTGGTGGGGATGTGTTTGAGTTCGAAGCCAAGGTGGTGGGGGTTATATCGGAGACATTGGGGCGGACAGATCTGTTTGTGTGAGCGGCGCCAGGGTCTGAGCTTCATGTTTGTACAGATGTATAGTGATTGACAATAACTTGTTTTGAGTGCGGTAGGATGATCGTTGTCATGGCACAATTGCGAACGATGCGACTGCAGCATGAACAAGCGAGGCAGGAGGAACCAACTCACTGGAAACCATGATAAGAAAAGTCAAATGTAGACAGCGTATGCTCGGGAGAGGCACGCAAGATGACTGTAACTAAGACCGGACCAGGTATACAACCAGCCCCGTAAGATTGAGGAGACAAATTTGTTAAAGCGGTACATACCTACTCTAGGACCGATAAGATATACGAACCGGCCTTTAGCGGCAGAAAGATTGCTCGCCGCTGCCATCGGGGCGTCAACAACACCAAAAAGACACAGCGATTGTTTCCCTAAAATGAGGACCGTGCTTCTGCGATATCCGGAATTCGGGTACGGCCACCGAACAGTGTGCTGCAGTGGAGCCGTTTGATCCGATATTCAGTTGACTCTATTCTCATCCCAGCGCCCGCGTCTCATGATCGCATAGAACAAAAATCCACCGAGGCGGTCATGACAGAAAGTTCTGAGTAGAACCAGCGTGTTTCACCAGTCACGGCGCAAATTGATTGGGCACCAGGCGCTTCAAATGTGCCTGATGAAATTCATGCCAGTGACGTCCTCCATCAACAACTGGTTTAGATCAGATGTCCACGATAACCACGTATGTGATCGCCCGTTCTTCGCGGATGTAAGATGCCAGTGGCGAGACATCGCAGCAGCAGTAGAAAGGATCATCACATGATCGTTTGATTCATCGGCAACGGGCATGTTCCACATCCGGGTAGCGATCATTGCATTGAACGTTCAGCCTTGTAATGGCTCAGATGTCCAGAAGAAAACAGTACAGCACCATCCGATCACCAGAAACAACAGCATAAAATGTATACGAAGATTACTTTTTTTCAAACAAAATATCGTCTTTTGGGGTCGAAGACCCTATGTCGGACATAGCCCCATACACGGAGGGGGCTTACTCCCGCTTACCTATCCTACGAACACTACTTATACATCCACCGCTGAAACAGAGACATCTACATCACGCTGTTCCTTCTCCGACATCCATTCCTCGTCTATGTTTTCACCTCTGATGGCCGGCGTAAAGTTGGATATGGGTCCAGTAAACCAATGCACGCCTCCGTACACTGGACAATAATACCAGGAAATTGCCAAAAACATGAACCCTCCAAGTACCACAACCGTATAGTTCATCTGTTGTACCGTTGTTTGTGGGGTCGCGGGAAAGAAGAAAACTAGGATCATGAAGAGCATCCACACAACAGCAATCACAGCGACTGGAAAGCTCTGCACAGACATGAGTTCAGGAATATATCGCTACTGATTAACCCACCAGTTTCCCCAGATGGAATGGGCCGGGTTTAAAATCATTCTTGAACACAAAGCGGGTTGTGATCGGCGTTATGTAAGCGATATACGATGCGGTGACAGCAATTGTGAATACCGCATCGATGGCTTCGGTACTTACGAACGACAAAAGTCCGATTACCAGAGCGGAGATGGCGTCGAACCAAACTGTATTGACGGGTGTTCCTGTGTAACGATTGATCCGGTATAAATACCGTGAAAATGGGAGGGCTCCATCACGAGCAAATGCAAACGATTGGCGAGAGCCGACCAGGAGGCAGTTCGCTGCCACCATGTACCTGTTCTATGATCAGGGTGTGAATACGTCACGCAGCACTAAAACACACTCCGCTACAATAATGAGACACCATAAAGCCAGGGCCTTTTTCTGCCCGAGCGAGTTGTATAAAATCTGTGCCATAGGCTGGCCTATAGGGCTACTGAAGACGCTGCCGACATCAGTTCCCATGCAAAAGGCAAGGGAGACGTTAACTCCTGTATTAGAATGTCATCAAGATCAGAGTGGTATGTCATTCCACATACCCCAACCAAGGACGGCCGATATAGCAATGGAACTGACCTGACTGGGATAAATACAACAATAGGTGATTTCTAGTGTCACTTACTATTGCCCATGGTATCGCAGTGGCAGCATTCGAGGCCTCCTCGCTCATATGAACGCTAGCATCAAAACCACCTGGTAGGTAAAGATAGTCACGGAGCAATAATTCCAGAGAATATGGTCTAACCTATTGTATAAAGAGGAGCCATTAAGCTCAAAATAAATGCAAATCCAGATGGCCAGCCGTCCACTATAACTAATCATGAGCTGCGAGCGTAATTGGACGATGATACATACAGTTGGCGAAATCCCCTAGCGCAAAATTTGCACTGTTGCGATAATCTGGTGGCGTTGCGATCGGAAGCGCAATGATGATTATGAAGCAGAGGCTATTGGAAGATTTGAAACAATGATCATGTACGAACTCTACAAAACCTACGATGCATTCACCAACGTGAATAGTCTCTGTAGCCTTGCCAAAACCTTGGTACCGAAGCTCACGAGGACAGCTTGTGACAAAACCAGAGCTGCGTATATACCACTACAATAAACAATATGAAGAGTGTTGTTTCTGCATGAGGATAAGCTTACTAGAGCTGCCAGCTGGTAGTCGTATATGCCTGGTCAGAGGATGCAATATTGATTGCTGCGGTGATTTGAATTGTACAAGCCCAGCCTACGGAAGCTAACCCAACATGATCAGGGGGAGGTTGTTGAAAAAATGGAATACCTCTCACCGACTCCCGTGATGATCTGTACGGTATTCGAAACTGCAGATATCAGGACTGGCTGCATGTCATATCACAATGCAGGACTTACAGCCAACTATCCACGACAGAAAATTGCGACATCTTGGAGAAGCAAGCGAGTAAGTCCAATAGTATAGCTAGATTGTGTAAGTCGAGTGTGAGACAGCCACAGCGTAGATGACATACACCACCAGACGTAGGTGCTGCTGATGCAAGCTCCGCCATTGCCAACCCGATGCACATGATAAAGGGGCAAGCAATTGCCCACTGCACAGAGGGAGAGTAAGATGTTTACAAAACAGCAATCTTCACGTATGATAAAAGCTTACACCCCAGACCATCGCAAAAGGTCCACCATTTGGTATAGCATAGAAGATCACGGAGCTGAACAAATTTTATCATTAGTGGTGCTATTTAGATTGGCTTATGTCATACTGACGGCTTACACTATAGAAGGAACCACTCCAACATAGCTGAATGCAAGGCCGGCCACCTGCAAGTGTTGGCTTGTGTCGCGTACGTGGAAAAGTCAGAGATAAAGCTCACCTCTAACGGAGTGAATTCCCTGTGAAACTCCTGCTTGTATCCTAGCTTGGCGAGAGTCGTCTCATCTGCATCTGGTTGCAGGTGCAACTCCGAACTTGAAATCGCTGAAACTCTCGGAGCCGCCATATTGTGACGTGGCAAGTGGGCGATTTCGAACGAGCCAGAGCTACTGATAATGCAGTATTAAAAGAGATTAATAGTCAACCGGGAATCACCAGGAATCACGCTCAGTGTCCACATTAGGTGACTGTGACGACCGGAGTGTCCTGACTCGGACACATACATCATGATACATGTGGACTGTGGAATCTCTGCGATCTAAACGGAAATTGAACCAAGAGATCACTGAAATTAATTCCGACTTACGATCCGAACTGCGGATACTAGCCTATCTGAATCTTGTGTGGGTCAACCAACCAGCCTGAGTCGAACAACGGGACTCAAACATCGGCGAGAACTTGGTCGAGATTCGGATATGGGTCTCATGCGGGACAGGTGTGGTGGTACAGATAACAGCAGCCCGTCGTAACCTGGACCATACCTTTGCTATCAGCAGAATAAGTACACCTGGTTCCAAACTTTTTCTGCACGCTCCTCAAACCCATAGCTTTCGGAGATGGTCGTGGCCGCTTTTCAGCACCATGGGACAAAATAGCAGTGAAATATGTCATTGCCGGCTTTAAGTCATAGTGAATAGTTCCCTGCTATGACTCTGAGCTAGAAGTCACTGCCAAAAGTTGGGGTGCTTTCAAACACTAGACACGTCAAAAATCACGTGGATGATGAGCATCGGCGGCGCTACGGTTCAAGGTTGCATTGCAGAGTTGTTCAAAGTACACGTGCGCCTACGATGCTCTAGACTCGTCGAGTGTCCAACATGACTCGGTTCAAGGTGAAAAAAAGCTGCTTTTCAACGGTATATGGCGTGCTCACCCATATAATCAAACAAGAATCGCTGGCTCCTCGTCGAATTCATTGACACGTCTACGGTGGATACCTCCGCAGAAAAAGAGACTTCAAACACGCGATCTCTGGACGGGAGGTCGATCTACAACGCTCTTCGCGACAGCGTCGTAACAAACATCGGCGACGCCGGATGGGGAGCAGTGGGGATGTCGTTGAATGGTGCGTATATCCCTCATAATACTTCGACTTTCCATCTTAAATGGCTACAGTGAAGTATCTTTCACCGCTCACGAACCTTTGTATCATTCGCATAGCACGAGATCATTATCGAATTGCATGGGGTGTAATCACGCTTCTCACTAGCATCCACGACGTCAAGGTCATTCCGCGTGTCATTCATGTCTCAGGTAGGGCTTGTATTTTTGTGGGTCTCTGCCGTCCTCTAAACAAAAGTGCTGGCATTGCAAACACCATGTAGGCACCGTCAAACACACACAACTCTCAGCAATCGCACACAACCGAGAAGTCATTGCGCGGTTTCGCACTAAATTCCAAAACGCCGGTAAGCATGGTAGATGCAGATGTGGGCGGGTTGCTCAATTTTTTTTTATCTTGATGTGCAGCACTGCATCATGATTCATACGATGAATATCTCGCGCGAAGTACTCTTGAGATTGAGGCTTTGCATGACTGAATCAGTCTGAGGATCGTAACCCTTGTGATTTCGAGAGGCTCTCATTTTTGGTTGAACACTGCAGCTGCCATTATGCAATGTCTATGACCCTTAGAAATCTCGCAGGGGTGTAGTGATTGAAATGAGCTTCGACATTTTACTGAAGGTTGACTGGCGTTGGATGCGGTCGAGGTGAGCTTTGGAGGGATCGTGGGTCTCTTGCTCTAAGCTGTAGAGCGAACACGCTGGACTTGCCCAGGACACTCAGGGTTGTTCCCCCTTCATCCCACCGATTCCCAAGACCTGCTTGTGCACCGGATGCAGCCGAAGTTATCTCTTATTGCCCCGTCTCAAACTCATCGCCAATTCTGTCACAGATGAGCGCTTTGCTTTCAGTGCTCTCCTCGTGGTTCATCTCTACTTTGAGCTTCCTTCACTGCCGGTCCAACTGGTTTTAGTTCTCTCATTCACCGATCTCCTCCGAAGCCCATCATCATTGGAATCCCGCACGGCACAAGTACCAGTGCAACATGGTTGCTGACTTCTGCGAGTCCATACCGCAGATGCTACCAAGCTATGTACTCAAAGGGCTGTCATTGCGGGTGTCTTGGGATGCCAATAAGCATGAAACCAACAGTTCATATACCTGGACCGCCGAGAGACTAAGTGGGTTTCACAACAGTTCTTTTATCTAAGTTTTTGCCCTGACTATCATGTGCCAGGCGCTGTGTGGTCGATTTCTAAGTAACTCGTGGTTATTTTCGGGTGCCATATGCCGTCTCCTTCATGAATAACAATCGTTACACACTAATGGGGACGATACGATGAACGGTCTGGCTGTAGAATGATTGGGCCCGCGCCTAAGTATCATATCGCCTGCACACACATTCTGTCTACAGCTCTGTCCTAGCCATATCATGATGAGCGTACTTGTAGCCCTAAGTCCTCGAGACTGTCTGCGACTGACGCCATGCTATAGAATCGCGGAACTTCTATCGTGATCGCACCAGGTTTTCAATAAGTGCATTGCGTGTAAAATCAAATTCTATGTTGCTAAACATTTGGAGGGCACGTCTTCCCCTGGGTTGACCGTGCTTGTCAACGAAGGCCGTGACTCGAAGGATCATGACACGAAACATCGATTGCATTGGGACAAGTGGTATGACGCCGGATTCGAGAATTTCGAGACGTTTGATTTCATGTGGTCCAATTTGATCAGGACATGCGCGAACTCTACAACAACCTTTGTGAGTGAAAATTTGACTCCCCTTCGTCCAAGACAATTCCTACTGATTCTCCTCTCGCCCCATTTGCGAGATCTGTTATGATGTGAGAGGTATTTTCGTGCGAACTGCAATCTCTATAGTGATGCGTGCTCGTTACAAGTAGCTTGAAATCCCGAGCTTCGTAACGACTGCGAAGCTTTCCTTCAAGGTTGGTTTCCATCCTTAAGCTTGTATTATGTCCAATGCTCGGTAAACAAACAACTGATTGTGACTTTGTGAGCAATAGTTGTTGACGAACCAATAGCAGTGATGCAACCATCCACGATGGTGAGAGGAGACTCATTCTGTGGCGAAGTACGAAATATTTTATTATCGTCTCATGTTCTACTCGTCTTTTGTTCCGCAATATATTACCACCTTCAAGTCATGACAACCACTTACTTAGCTTCAGATCAGCGATGATTCGGCTTGTAAGTGCGGACATATCTATCATTGATAGTGCGGTCGTTTCTTCCTCTTAGTTTCAAGAATTGTGTTGAATTTGACGTGTAGGAAGGAAACATGAACAACTACATCTATGCAATCTTGACAGTCTGAATGACATCTATAAGCATAGACTAGCGGCTAAGAACAATAAATGGACGTACTTTGGCATACAACGAGTCTACGACCTTGCTCACTTGCTCCAAGGTCCCAATTGCTGCACCATACGTGTTCTGAAATGACATGAGCATGGATGAGATGAGATGAGTAGGAGGGAACCCACGTCAGCTTCTAGCTCATCGAATACGATTAGGCATCCTCGTCCCTGATCTAGCACGCCGTGGAAAACCTTGTCCAGTATCATCTGGGATAGCCTGAAACACGATATCAGCTAATTTTTACAGAAAATAATAATAATACGCACTTGGCCTCGACGTCCTGCCGTCCTTGCCCGACCTGTTTGGCAACGTAGTCAATCTCTACCACCGAATACGGCTCAACGATACGCAGCAGGTTTTGCTGGAGAAGGGTGTCGTAAAGTGCTGCAAGATGCGAGCGAATGGTAGGGTCGGATGAAAGTTCTGTGTAATAATAACAAGTCAACAACGAGTTGCGTAAATGAGGCATGACATGCCATGTTTGTAATCCCGAAGGGCCTTCTCAAAATCCGACAAGTTTCGATTCTGATGCGCAAGCGCTATGGCACGCATGCTCTCGATTTCGCGAAGTTGAGCATATTTCACTGCGAGCTTGATGGAGAGAAGTGATGTTACATCTTCCGGCTGGAACACATATCAGAATGACCAACGAATTAAGATTAACGACAACGCACCATGTTCAACATGACCTTGCACAAAAGCATGTACTTGAGTGCGTTTAGCGCTGCTGGGTCATCCTGCGATGACATATTCTCAAAAGTCTCGTAGAAGTACGAGTACGCAGTGGTGTAATCTTTGTCCTCTGCATGAAGGATACCAGATTGGAGGTCTAACGCTGCTTGAAGATGAGGAGGACAATATATTGAGTTTGCAGCAGTCCTGGCGGAAGTGAGGGCAGCCTTTGCATTTCACGGACGTAAGGAGAATACCGGAACAGCACCCGAAGGACTAACCTTGGACTTCGAGAGGTTTCCAATGCCACGGTAGACGCGACTCTCGAGCAGGTGTACTTCGGTAAGAATCATCTTGTCATCTAATCTTTTCAACTCTGTCAAGAGTGCATCGATTCGCGTTAAGGCTAACTTGTACTGCAGTGCTTCAAGTTGCCTGTACCGATAATTAGCAACGCCGTAAGAAGTAGAAGTGTTTCTTACAGGGAAACAAGTCGAATTTCCAAGCTGTGTTTGAGAAATATGCGCTTTTCACGCTTTGACCACTCGATATTATCGGTTAGGACGTCGATCTGGGTTTGCCGGCTGTTAGGGATAGAGTTGAAGTAATTAAGAAGTGTGCGGACTGAGAGGTAGACATTAATGAACCATGGCAGGTCAGAGACGGAGAACACTCACTTAGCTTGGCAGTCTTTGCCTTGGCGGTTGAAGACATGAATGATCTCGAGAGTGTGATGACTTGTGCTAAGCCACTGGCATCTCTGTCTGGAGTGAGGGCTTGCGTAAAACAACAGACTTTGCAAGACTCACTTTTGATCTCGATAGAGCTCTGCTAGCTTTATCAATGCCGACTCTTGGTCACGCAAAGATTGTTCCTTGTCAGCATTGACTGCCGATCCATTAGAGGCCGATGCTGGGAGCATGATTAGCACAAGCCCACATTCAAGACATACACTATTCAGCACACCAGTGGAATTAAGTATTTGTTTGTAAAGCTCCTCTGCACGCTTTGGGTTAGAGGACGTAAGATCCGCAGCCTGCTTGAGGAGGTCTTGAGTGGATGGCATGATTCAGTACCAGTACTGTGTTGGGTATGGCACTACAGAAAGCGTTCATGTGTGACGCGTCTTCACACCGTGGGAATATGAACTTGTGAGACTGACGCGTCGAAGGGAAGCCAACCTTGACTGCCAAGGGAAACTCCCTAACACTGACAGTCATGGCAGAAGAAATCATTCCGATACCAAATCTCAGCCTCCCGCAGCACCTGTTCACTCTTATCTCACCAACGCTTGGGCAACTTCACGACAATGCAAGAAAACAGTTGCTTGAAGGGATTAAGGCAGACAGTAAGTAATGAGATCATGTTAATGTTATTGACTTCATCTGCAGTGCATTGCAGAAATGTCGCCGTATTATAAGTTAGTAATCTCTGCAGGTGTCCTAACGCCTGATTCTGTGTTGCTCGAATCGATGGAGAAAGATAATGAGGAAGAGCTCAAGAAGCTAGACGAGAGACTAGCAGAGGCAGAGAAGCAAGAGGGAGAATCGGAGATATCAGACGCTTTGAAAGCCAGAGCCAATCATCTCACTCGAATTGGTGACAAGGTGCGCCTTTCCTATGCTAAGTCATACAGACATTGAACATCATCAAACGTGAAGGAAGGCGCAGTCGCAGCGCAAAAACTTGCGCTTGAGAAAACACCTGGCCTTGGCTCGAGGATAGATATTGTGCTCACTCTCATCCGACTGGGATTTTTCTTCGGTGATAATGGCCTCATCACTGAGAACCTCCCAAAAGCAGAAAGGTGCGCTATCGCAAAGCTTTACCGCAACATTGAATTGACATGTCGTCCAGATTCATCGAGGAGGGTGGTGACTGGGATAGGCGTAATCGTCTAAAGGTCTACCGTGGGCTCCACATGATATCCATCCGCCAACTTAAGGCTGGCGGCGCACTTCTCCTCGATGCACTATCAACATTCACTGCCACTGAACTCACAACATACAACGACTTCGTCGCTCTCACCATCATCATAAACGCTCTTACCCTTAAACGAGTGGACCTCAAGAAACGGGTATGTTCGTTCTCCTAGTATTTCTCACTGCTGATCATATTTCCTGTAGCTCATTACCGCACCAGAGGTTATCTCCGTTTTGCCCGAAATCCCAATCCTTGGCGACCTCTTAAACAACCTTTATGACTGCCATTACGCAAAATTCTTTGTCGCACTCGGTACGTTTTGTCGCACCTACAATCCACTTCCGAGGCCCCCTGTCTAGCCTCACATTATATTTGTCTGATGTAATTGATAATGACTGACATGCCGTGTCCATGCCCACAGCGACCCTTGAGCAGACGTATCTCCTCCCATCGCGACTCCTCTCGCCTCATACCCGCTACTATGTACGAGAGATGCGCATCTTGGCATACAGCCAACTTCTGGAATCCTACCGCAGTCTCACTCTTGAAAGTCTTAGTG